TAGTAGTGGGGAGAAGAAGGGCAGGTTTTGGTTTTGAGATTTCTTAATGATTGGCAGATTGGTGAATATGAGGAGTTACTTCAGAAATTATCTTGCATTTCATTGGATGATAGCACAGACTCTCCCTTGTGGAGGCTAGTCGAGAATGTTTGAGAAATTACTAGTCGAAACTTGTAATCATATGTTACTGTGCTGTCCGGTGGTTTACAAACTATGGATTATGATTTATGGGCTGTTGGGTGTATAGTGGGTGATGGTGGGTTTAGCGAGGGAAGAAATTTGAGCATGGAAGGGCATTAGAGGCCGAAGTAAACAGATGGACTTTATTCCATTCACTATTTTTCGGGTTGTGTGGAAAAAGAGGAACATAAGGGTTTTTGAGGGGGTTGGTGACACTAATAGTTTTGATATTTTGAAAAATAGATGGTTCCAAACCCTTAGTTTTTTGTTACAGGGTCATCTTCTAGGTACTATGGAGGATTTTGTGGAACTTGTTGATATGTTAATACATTTGTAAATGTTATAAATGGATGGCATTCCCTTGCTTATTTTAATACATATACACTTTTATCTCAAAAAAATAAAAAAATAAAATTATATGAGAAACGGATAAATAGAGATATGCGAAGGAAAATTGGGGATCAAGGTGAAGAAATAAGTAGAAATAGACTGAATATTGCTCTGAACACTAAGTGGTTGTGGCGATTTTTATTGGAAGAGGACAGACTTTGGAGAAGGGTTATCATGGTAAGATGGGGTGAGCTGTTTGACAGAGAGGGAACTGGCAGAATTAATAAACAGCATGGCCTGGGGTTGTGGAGAAAATCCTAATGGACTGGCGCTGTTTTAAGGCTTGCAACCAGTGGAAGATCGGCCGTGGGGATAAAATTAAATTCTGGAAGGATGAGTGGATTGAGGGGGGATGTCTTATGAGCCATTTTCCAAGAATTTTTGAGATATCTCAATCCAGGAACATGGTGGTTAAAGAAGCCTATAAAGAGAATAATGGCAGCCAGACTTGGGAGGTGAATGTTTACAGAAATTTAAAGGATTGGGAGGTGCAGGATTACATAAATCTGCTGAGTTTGCTGGAAACACAGGAGCTGAATGATATTGGTGACAGGGTAATTTGGAAGTTGAGTCAGAATGGGCAGTTCTCTTCAAAATCCTATTACCATTACCTAAGGGCGAAGGGCTGGTTCAGATATCAAGTACCCGGCTAAATAAATCTGGAAATCAAAAGTGTCTCCAAGAATTGCTTTTTTTGCATGAGAAGTCAGTAGAGAATGTATCCTAACAATTGACAAGCTGAAGATGAGAGGGCACTACCTGGTTAGTCATTGTTATCTATGCATGAATGCTGCCGAATCATGCAACCACCTATTATTATGGTGTCCAGTGACTTATGAGCTGTGGAGCATGGTGTATGGTCTTCTAGGGGTAAATTGGTTAATGGCAGATACTGTTGGGGAGGAATTATGGGCCTGGGGTGGTATGAGTAAGGAAAATGTTTGTATTGGTTTAATTCCTTTAACTGCTTTGGATTATTTGGAAAGAGAGGAATCTTAAGACTTTTGAGGGTAAAGAAAATTCGATGCATAGATTAAGAGATAAAGGTGGTTTCACTTTTTTTTATCTATGTTTATGAGCGTGACATAACTAGTGATGAAAATTTTGAGTTTGTCATTGATATCCTAACTAGAATGTAAATCATTGTACATGGTTGGTATCCCTTTTGGTACTGTGTGAATATATACTTCAAACTTTTTATCTCAAGAAAAAAAGACTGAAGAGGATAGGTTAGATAGAATGATAACTAGGAAAAAAAATACAAAGAGAGGTAACAGAGAATAAAACCTCACAAAGAAGTCTTAATTCATTATCATCTATATATATTTGCTTATAGATATTATTCTTTATATAGGGATTAGTTATAACCAATGAGAAAAATTACAAAAGCATGTATTAAAAAATTCTCAGCTCTTATAATACTTAACAATCTACCTAAATAGGTACTAAAATATTATAATGCTTAATATAACTTAAAACCTAATAATAATACAAAATAGTAATAATAATTAGAAAGAATTTCTTTAGTATAAAATTCATTCCAAATTAATATCTTGTTTG